ACAGGGCTCAAAAACTGAATACACTATTTGTTCTTACAACACTTCCCCACTCACACTGCGTGATGCCCACTAGACAAAAAGCCCTGAATGAATAAAGGGGACAGTTCGGGAGTAGGACCATAAGTCTCTCTTGTCTGCCACCCTTTCTCATTTGAAGCCACTCCCGGAACAGAAGAACCAAGACCAGTAAGAATTAGATTATGTTCATCCTGAAAAGCCATCTCTCACCTCCATGTAATCATTCAGTTAAGTGAACGATTCATCCATCGGCTGATCACCATTCATTAAGTGTCCTCCTGCTTATTCACCCTTGTTTCTAGCTGTAGGACTCTGCCGAGTCCCATCCCATCTCTGAATGGTACAGAGGAGGGGACGAAGAGAGGAAGGAGGTGGAAATACATTTAAAAAAAGAAGAGACAGAGAGAGGGGGCGAGGGTGAAACAGTGTAAGGTTGGTCACACATTTGTCATTAAGTCAAAGCCGAATGCCGGTGTTTGTGTGAGGTGGAATTATCTCATTCTTTTAGCCTGGGAGTCTCTGTGATCCACCAGTCAAGTATGTGATTGGATTTCAGCTCAACAAAACCTTAAATTACACACCTATTGTGCCTGAGTTAAGCCTTGTTTCACAGCAGTGGAGAACGCTTCTCCCAGGCTCCTTGGCCGTGTTCGATCCAGGGCTGTTCTCGTCCGCTGGTTGATGAATGAGTAATAGGATTAGAATCTCATCTCAAGCAACAGGGTGATTGTCACGTTGGGTGCAGGGACAAAGGCTGGGGTGATAGATAGGGGCTACATAGTGGAAATGGGCTAGTTCCCCCCCAGATGTGCCCACTCCCACAAAGCAACAGGCCAAGGGCCTCAGGGAGGGCAGTGACAAGTCCTGGGAAGGGGCCAACTCCCTTACCAGCTGTCTGCTAGAGCCAGGGGCATGCTGGGTGCCCGCACAGGTGTATCTATCTCATCGAATGCTCACAACTGCTCTCTCAAGTGTGTGAGGAGACATCTTTTGGAATTTTTTCTTCATCTATTCCCTACTTCTAGGTACAGGACCTCCTCTTTCCATGGGGATCAAACCATCCCACTTTCAGAGAAAGGTCCTGATGGAACTAGCTCCATCCCCTGGCTCCCAGAGTGGTCACGTGACCATGCCAACCAATCAGAAACACGAGCGTTCATTGTAGAACCATAATCGGCATTCCCAGGAAACAGGCATGACTTTTCCCTGGGGTCAGCGAAAGGACCAGAACACGGTGCCCTGGGTGGAGGAGGAATTGCAGCCGCCTGGGGGTGGTGAAGTTGGGCAGTGGAATTAGGAAATACGGGGCTATGTTTTCTCTTTCTACGAACACCTCTACCTCTAAGACTAGAGCCGGATCTACCCACTGGTCTTCACTTTTGGCTCAAGATAGCCCGACCTGATTTTTCTGTCCAAGTGGATTCTTATGCACTTTACAAATGAGGAATCAGGGCTCACAGAGGTCAGGGAACCTACCCAAGGTCACATAGCTAATAAGTGCCAAAGCTGGGATTTGAGCCCCAGCTTATTCATTCTAAGCCCTGTGTGCCTTCCTGAATACTGGCCATTCCCACCAGATGGCAGGGGCCTGCTTCATGGAGGAGCCCAAAGACTCTGATACCATGAGGGAAGAATAAACCAGCAACCCAGGAGACCCAGGGCACATTTTGGGGTGAAGAAGATCCCTTTCTGCCAAAACTCTGTCTGGACATTGTTCACCTTATCTGAGGCCAGAGTGGACAGAGGTTTGCAACAGTGAACATAAGAAGGGCTTGGAGACAGACCTACATTCAGATTCTGACTCACCTATTTATTCTAGCTGTGTGAACTTGGATGAGTAACTTATCCTCTCTGAACATGATTTCTCTCCTTTATAATGGGGAAATAATACTTGGGGTGATTATGAGGATTAATCAGATAAAATAGATGTGCCTATTATGGTTTTGACATCAAGGGACAGAAAGTCTCATTTACCGTGACTTCAATAAAGAATATATTTTCTTGAATAATAAGACGTCAGGAGTAGTCATCTTCAGGGTTAGTTCAATGGCTCTGTGATCTAGTTGGCTTTCTTTCCCCTTTTTATAGTCACAAGGGGGCTGCAGGAGACCTGAATGCAGAATCTTCAGTTTAGAGGACTTCCATTTCCATATCTTTTTTTTTTTTAAGAGAACACCCAGCACTTCCTCTTCCATCTCATTGGCCAGAACTGGATCATGTGACTAATCCTAGCTACAAGGGATGCTGGGAAGACAAATATTTGGGGGAAAGGAATGAGGTACCTATATCACTTTATCCTTTGGTCCTCTATTAACAGGAATAAGGAGGAAGCAGGGAGTGTCTACTCCAGGAAGACAATCAACAGCCATCACCAGATTATATAAAGTACTCTGGGCAGAATCTGGCATATATAAAATATTCTGTAACTAGAACTGTTACTACTATTATTGCACTAAATGTTCTGACAGAAACATTTCTGTTCATGCAGAAAGTGGCCTCTTTAGCACCCTACCCCTCCTCAGTGTCAAGCTCCAAGAAACACAGCATCTGTCGGCTTTCAGCTCTGCCGCCCCTCCTGCACCTACATAACCATCCCGGGGAGAGCCAGCGCGCTCAGGCTGGAAGGAGGCTCAGCGGTCAAGTGGCCGTCCTCTCCTTTGCTACAGAATGCAAGAATCACAGCTACCTCTGCAGAGAAAGATCTGAAAGGAGACCACAGAGAAGACATCTGAAGCTGAACGTTCCCACAGAAGGCCGGTTTGGGAAGTCAGGTGCAGCAGGGGAACAGTTCAGTGGTTGCCGAAGCCTCTCTGGGGATGTTGTCCTTGGGGTTGTTCTGAACCACAATTCACAGCCCGCTGCTTCTGCTGTGCAAGCCGCAGTCCCTTCCCACCCATTCCTTACCAACCTCTTTGCCTTGTTTACAAGAAAGGTTAAAGCTACATTTTTCTCCATTACAAAAAGAGAAAAAAGACTGAGGACAAGATTCTAGGAGGAATAGTTCTCTTCTGGAATATACAGCACATACCCATCTCCTTGGCTTCCCAGGTGGCGCTAGTGGTAAAGAATCTGCCTGCAATGCAGGAGACGTCAGAGATGCAAGTTTGATCCCTGAGTCGGGAAGATTCCCCTGGAGGAGAGCATGGCAATCCACTCCAGTACTCTTGCCTGGAAAATCCCATGGACAGAGAAGCCTGGCAGGTACAGTCCACAGGGTTGCACAGTGTCAGACATTCCTGAAGTGACCTGACACATGCATGCACCCATCTTCTAGTACTTCCATGCTCACTGGGTCCCCAATAACTGGGGCTTTGATTCATTAATTCATTCATTCCTATATTCTACACATAGTTTAGTGTTGAATGCCTTTTAGGTAGCTGCTTCATTCTAGGTGCTGGGACTATAAGCCAGTAGTAAACACACATGCTGCCTGCCTTACCTGTGATGGGACATGTCCCCAAACCTCCTAGGGATGTACCCTGAGATGCTCCCAATACTTCAGTTTCCCCCCTTCCATTCATCTTGAAAGTGAAAACTGAAAGTCGCTCAGTCGTGTCCAACCCTATACAGTCCATGGGGTTCTCCAGGCCAAAATACTAGAGTGGGTAGCCTTTCCCTTCTCCAGGGGATCTTCCCAACCCAGGGATCGAACCCAGGTCTCCTGCATTGTAGGCGGATTCTTTACCAGCTGAGCCCCAAGGGAAGCCCAAGAATATTGGAGTGGGTAGCCTATCCTTTCTCCAGTGGATCTTCTCAACCCAGGAATTGAACCAGGGTCTCCTGCATTGCAGGCAGATTCTTTACCAGCTGAGCTACCAGGGAAGCTCATTCATCTTGGGTCATCTTAATCACAAGCTTCACCTAGTGCATATCCCCTGCCCCCCATATCCTCGGTACTTTCCCGGTGGCTCAGACGGTGAAGAATCAGCCTGCACTGTGGGAGACCTCGGTTCAATCCCTGGGTTGGGAAGATCCCCTGGAGGAGGGCATGGCAACCCACTCCAGTCTTCTTGCCTGGAGAACTCCATGGACAGAGGAGCCTGGAGGGCTGCAGTCCATGGGGCCACAAAGAGTTGGACATGACTAAGCGACTAAGCATAGCATGGCCACATCCTGGAGGATGACACTAATAAAAAAGATGGACATAAAGCTCAGAGGAATTGGAATCCTCACACATTGCTGGTGGGAATGTAAAATGGTGCTGTCGCTTCAGAAACAGTCTGGAAATCACTTAGAAGCTTGAGCATAAAGTTATCCTATGACCCAGAGCTTTCACTCTGGAGGGAATTCATGCAAGAGAATTGCAAACATATGTCATGCAGAAACTTTTACACAAATGTTATTAGCCACATTATTTTTAAGACCCAAAAAGTGGAAACAATCGAAATGTCCACAGATATTTATTCAGTCATAGAAAGGCATGAAGTCTGGATACACGCTACGACATGGATGAACCTTGAAAACATTGTGCAGAGTAAAAGAAGCCAGACACAGAAGTTGTAGGATTCTCCTTAAATGAAATGCCGAGATTGGAGGAATCGATCAAGACAGAAAGTAGATTCATGGTCGACAGAGGCTGAGATGAGGAAAGAATAGAAAGTGACTGCTAACAGGCTTGGGATTTCTTTTGTGGGGGGCGATGAGAATTCCTTTGGGAATTGCTGGAATTAGACAGTAGTGATAGTTTCACAACTTTGTGGGGGAAGAAAACCCCACTAAGTTGCATAGTTTAAAGGGGTGATTTTTATGATATGTGAATCATCAAAAAAAAAAAAAGAAAAGCAGAACCAATCCCCAGCCCTGACTGCCATAGAAAACAGCCATTTAACCGGAGAAGCAGTGGCTGCCCCATTTGCTACACTTCCTGTCTCCTCTGGCATCAGCCCAGACCATGAATCCTCCTGGAGAGGTCTGGTCCTTCACGCTAAAGTCCTCAGCATCTTGCGGACCCTCCACTGGCAAGGACCTGCTGCTGGCAGCCAATGCCTGTCCCTCCACCCTCCCCTGCCCTGAGTTCACTGCCTGACAAGGCGGCCATGGTGGACACCGGGCATGTCCTTGTGAAGGACACGGGGGTGGAGGCATCAGAGGCACCCGTCACCCACCAGCTTGGCCTGACTGTGTCATTTCAGGAAGGAGAAGAGGAACACGGGACAGCCACCAATGCCACTGGAGGTGATTTTGTCACAACCTCTGCCCCCATCAGAGGCAGCACACCTGCATGAAGGATTCATCAGGGATTTAACATCAGTTATTTCTTTTTAAAAATTATTCAAGTGAATCACACTGTGGTTAAAGAAGTGACTAGGTGGAATTTTCTTTCATGCACAAAAGCTGGGGTAGAAACGCCAGGGAGTCATCAGCCTGGTCAGCTTTTCAGGAAGCCAGTTAATAAGACCCATCCCCCCAAGGGCTTCCCCTGGTGGCTCAGTGGTAAAGAATCCATTTGTGATACAGGAGACGCCCTGTAATGCAGGAGACACAGGTTCGAACCTTGGGTCAGGAAGATCCTCAGGAGAGAGAAATGGCAACCCACTCCAGTGTTCTTGCCTGGAAAATCCCACGGACAGAGGAGGCTGGTGGGCTACAGTCCATGGGTCACAAAGAGTCAGACACAACTTAGCAACTGAACAGCAGCATACAGTCAGGCAGATTGTGGTTTGGGGAGACACTTCTTGATGGAAATGTGGCGTAAAATGGAGAGTGAAGTCCACGGGGTCGCAGAGTTGGACACGACTGAAGCGACTAACCACTTCACAGCACAGCATGAAATGACCTAGCAATGTGGAACACAGAGTTTTGTAAGAAAGTAAAATTTGTGTGTGGAATAATGGTTGCACATCTTCAAACAGTCAAGTCCATGGCTACAGGGAAAAGGAAAAAAGATGGAAAATTTAGAAGGAAAAACACGTTTGTCAAAAAGAGTTGTTCAAAGACGTAAGAAAACTTCGCCCCTTCTGAGAGTCTGTGTGTCCCTTGGCTTTGCTCTATTTTGGATTTACCCTGGATTACTCTATCTGTCTTGGATTTACTCTATTCTCTGGACATTCCAGAAGAAGCTTCCAGAGGAGAAAGCCTATAAATACCCAGACATTGAGCTGAGTTATTATGATTTTACGACTCATTTCTTCCCTCAAATATTTATTAAACATCTACACATGCCAGACCCTGAGCCAGATCCTGGGCTGTGGACACGAAGCACACACAATCCCTGATCCCTTCCAGCAGGGTAAGTAGAGAGACATAAAAAAAGAACAGTGACATGACCGCAGCGGAGGCTCTTGAATGGCGTTCGGGGTTTCCTGAGGACACGACTACGTGCTGAGAGACTTGAGTGAGGAAAAACCTCAGAGAGACGTGTGAGCCCGTTGCTGTCAAGAGACTAAACTTTAGGGTCAAACAAACCTGGATTTCAGTAGCAAATTCTATGATTGGTGACCTGGGGCAAATGACAAACTCCCAGCCTGTATTTCTCCACCTGTCACAGAGAGAAGAGAGCTGTATCTACCTCACAAGGCTACTGGAAGACTTAAACAAGCAATGCATGCAAAGTGTTTAAGATGGCACCTGATGCGTAGTTGGTGCTCAGTAAATGGAATGATACCACATTGACCCTTTTCTCTTTTGGTCTTACCAAGGCATGTGGGATGTTCCCAGACCAGGGGTCGAACCTACATCCTCTGCATTGGAAACACTGAGCGTTAACCACTGGACCACCGGAGAAGTCTTACTACATTGACTGTTGAAAAATGACTAAGTGTTCACTGCTGGGTTGGAGAAGCAGGTGGGATGGGTAGATAAGGGAAAGATGTGGTCTAGAAAGACCCGGAAGCTTAGTGCCCTAGGAGAATTGTGAATTGGTGAAACAGCCCTGCCTCCTGGACCCTACCTCATCACTCCTCACCGGGCTTCTGGTTGTTCAGTCCTCACCCACCAAAGTTCACAGGATGTCACCCACCACAGGGACATCGACCTGAGGAAGTCTCCTCCCGGTGCTCAAGTTTGCTGCCGCACATGCAGGAAAGTCCCACTGGTCAGATACTGTCTCCTTATACCCACCTGTCCTGTCCGTCCAGAAAATCGGGCCATACGTCTCATGGAGCAACCAGTACTTGTATGTGCTCAGTCACTCTGTCATGTTTGACTCCTTGGGTCCCCATGGACAATAGCCTGCCAGCCTCCTCTATCCACAGGATTTTCCAGGCAAGAATCTGGAGTGGGTTTCCATTTCCTTCTCCAGGGGATCTTCCTGACCCAGGGACTGAACCCATGTCTCTTGCGTCTGGCAGGCAGATTCTTTACCGCTGAGCTACCTGAGAAGCTGAACAATCAGAGTTAAGCCCAAACTGGTTCTGTTCCAGCTAAACTGATGTGTGTACCCATTGAGTCCCCACCCTGCAGCCTCTCCTCCAGTCTGTTCAGGGAGCAGGTGGCCTGGAAGTCAAGCAGTGTGATCAAACAAGTGATGTCCAAAGAATGTGACCGGATCGGTAAGGGGAGCCTTGGGGACAGGGATGGGGAAGCGGGGGGAAGGGGGACAGCAGGAGGCGGGGTGTCCCTCCTGCACTGAGAAAATTCCCCTCCTCCACAGTCTTCATGGAACGAGCGAGTGTTTAGCTGGTGAATAACTTCCCTGAAGAAATTCTTCTGTGGCATTTCACCATCACCAGCTGGTGTTTCTTGGCTGCTAAAGCAGCGTAATAACCATGTTGAAACGGCACCCACCGCCTTGTAGGAACAGGGCAGGACTTGTTAACCTTCGCATGCCCGGATGGCCTCCACCCTTGCTGCTCCATCTCTTCCCCCTAGCAGCTGGGGGGCAGCTCCCTCCCCGGGCAGTTTCTTCAGCTTGGCATCAGATAGAAAGGGTGGTGGAGTGAGCCAGCCGCAAGACAAATGGCCACCAGCTGCCTACCAGCTCCCCCCAAATACCGCAGCTCCACCTCTTCCTCCCTGGGCCCCTCCCACGCTCAACTCCACCCCAGGGTACTTGGACGCATTTGAAAACTCTGCTTAATAAATTACCACCTCTACATGACCTGACAATAGCCACAGATAATCTAGGGTTATTAGAAGGCTTGTTTACAACCCATCTAATTCCAGGTTGTGCAAATCTCAGCAAGTCAGGAAAGGTGTCAACCTTCCCTCAGTGAATGGCACAACTTGTATTCACAAATTATATATAATTGATCCAAGGATGTTACAGACATTTAAAAAACAAAACCATGCCCCCTCCCTCCCAACCTTTCCCTCTGGGAATTTATCTTAAGAAACCTACGGTGAACTGTGGCCAAATTAAAAAAAAAAAAAATAGTGCAGGGCTGTTCTTTTCAGTGTTGTTTATAAAAACAAAAACTTTAGAAACAACCTGCATGCCCAACAATAGGGGATTAGCTAAATAAACCTTCAAACATGCCTACAATGAGATACTAAACAGCCACTTAAAATAATATTGCAAAAGACAACACGGTGACCCGGGGAAGGTATTCATTATCTGTTGTTAGATGAAGGAGCAGAAGCAGGTTACAGAGAAATAGCTACAGTTAATTCCATTAAAGTGTTTTCTATAAATATATTTACTTGACTAGTGTTTGAGAGATGGGTGTGCTTTGCAGGCAGACAGACAGGTTTGGGGTTTGCATCTTAGAAGATATGCGACCTTGGGCAAGTTATATAACCTCTCTTTAAGTCTCTGCACCTTTGTCTGTAGAATGCAGAAAATCCATACTTCACAGAGCTGTTGTAACAGTCAAGTAAAGTGATCTATGTAAAGCATTCATCTGTATATCTGATACCAAATAAATGTTCAGTAATGGGTGGTTCTTGCTGCCATTACCATCATGTAAAAAGGGTTAACACTGGGTGACAGAATTATAGGTACTTTTCTCTGTTTTAATTTTTGGTTGTTTCATCTTGTCCATCTCCCAGAAAACATGACTCTTGTAATGACCAAAAAAATTTTTTGAACTGATGAAGTTGTTGGGGGAGGTGTTATGGTTGCTTTTAAAGAGATAACCTGGGACTAAAGAGAGACGAGGCAGGTTTGCGACCTCAGCATGTGAGGGCCTCATTCTAATAGATCCTGCCCCCCCAGGAGAGGAGTGCAGAGAGCAGCCGGGCTCTCATGAACTCTCATCCAAGTCAGGGGTCTGGAGGAAGCTGGCCCGAGATGGTCCCAGACATCTGGAAACAAGGTGTGTGCCAGGTGCCCCCCTACCCCTTTGTCCTCACCCATTTCACCTCCCTCGGGAGTTCAGGCTACAGAAGGGTTCGAGCCTTGCTTGGAATGACAAGGGGGATGGAGAGGATTATTAATAAAGGAGATGAGTGGACTTCCTTAGTGGTCCAGTGCTTAAGACTCTACACACTTCCAATGCAGGGGGCTCAGATTCAATCCCCGGTTGGGAAAATGAGATCCCATATGCCATATGGCAGGACAAAAAAAAAATAATTAAATAAAGGAGATGAAGGAGGAGCTGAACTGGGTAGGCAGACTGGGGTGTGTCCCAGTGAAAAGGAATGATAGGTGGCTTAGAGCTCATGCCAGTCAGTATGTTTCAGAAAACATGGATTTGATGGCCATTGCCTTGTCCAAAGGACCTAGAAGGTCAGAGATGTGGTCTCAAAGCTCTCCAGGTCTGTGGTGTCCAAACCCTCCTCGCCTGGGTCACCGCTTTTCCAGTCCACCCGGCTCAGAGTCCAAGCAGGTGTCTTGGGCACTTCGGAGCCGTTTGAGTTAGACCTGGTCTTGCAGGTCACGAAGGGCATGGCAGCAACAGCCAAGAGGACGGGGAAGGGCTGAGGGCCACCAGATCCAAAACCAGCCTCCACCCAGAGCAGAGAGGAGTCCAGTGACAGGGAGAGGTTCCTCCGTTTTTACAGACAGCAGTCCAAGGACCGAAAGCTGGGCACAGACTCAGACCCATGTCGGTGGTGGAGGCTGGGCTTGGTTCTCAACAGAGAATCAAAAACACAGGGAAAGGCCTGGAGGGGAGGGAGCCGCTTTCCCGGGGCTCTGAGGAAAGTCTGAGGCAGGAGAAAAGCAGGTCCCTGTCAGGGTGACCACAGTGAGACCCACTTCCCAGGCCTGGCCTGGGTCTCTCTGCTCCCCAAGGCCAGAACCCAGTCGCAGCTGACAGGAGGGAGACCCGGGGACTTTCTACCCGAAACCCTGG